AACTAAAAACCTGGAAGCTTCTTGCTCAAAAGGCTCCAGGCATAAACAATTGTAGATATGCAGGGTTCCTAAAAAGAGGCTATAGAGGAAGGACTTTGTGAATGGAGGGATCATGGCTAGGTGAGAGACTGCTTCTGTACAGAGAAAGATCAAGTCTGAAAAAACAATTTTTTCCAGGTTATAACAACGTGAAAACATAAATTACAATATAAGATTTAAATAATAGTCCAAGAGAAGTCTAAAAGAGATACCACATAGCAAGACAAAACTAATTGCTGATGAGTCTGATAGTAATTATTATAGATCTTTAGAAGGAAAACGGATACATTCACATGGGTCAATCAATAGTCAAACCTCAGGAGCAGGTGAAAGCTCAGGCAGGACAGAAGAGAAAGAAGTGTCTGAGGACAGACTGCTTCGGTAAATGCCAACGTGGGGAGGGGGGAGAATGATAGGAAGAAACCAGGACAGGGCAATGTCACAGAAAATACAGCAAGAGAACATCTGGAACTTTTATAAAAGATGTAGGGTATATCAATAACATCAGATGCTGTAGACACGTCAAAGACCATGAAGTCAAAGTTCCATTGGATGTGACCACCAAAAGGTCACCAGCAGCTTTGGAGAGCACAGCATCAGTGAAGTGGAGGGAAGAGAGCCAGATAAAAGGCATGAAAGGGACACTATGTGGTAAGGCTATGACTGCAGACAGCTTTAACAAGTTTGACAGGGAAAAGGAGGGAAATAGGTGAGACCACTATTGGGTGGGGGAGCAGAGAGAACTTGCTGTTGTTTTAAGATGGGGACAGCACTACCTTCTGGAGACCAGAAAAAAAGGTTCCAGTGGAAAGGGAAGGACTGGAGATGCTAGAAAGGGGACTAGGAGCTAACTGAAGGAACAGAATGAAAGAACACAATGAAACCTTCAATTGTAATGTTCTTTTCTTTATTTAACATCAACAAGCATATATTAAGCATTTACTTTGTGCCATGTACTGTGCTGGGCACTAGGAATACCAAAAATGAACCAATCCTTCCACCACTGTTTCATACCAACCCAGCCACACTGCCTTCAAGGGGCATGTGTGTCTTGAAGGATGGGTAGGAAAAGATATCTATTGCCATGGGACATATCCATCCTCACAGAAGAATGGAACCTGTGACCTTGACCACACGAGCACAGAATCAGCTTTCCTAGGTTTACAGGAAATCCCTGCCACAAGGTGACTCACGATGGATTCTTTGGCCTTAGCAATTCACAAAGACTGTCCCAAGGCACAGAAGAGCTGTGCTCAGCGCTGGGAGCGACATCTATACACCCAACATCATTGGAGTCAGCTTTATCTGAAGAATATGGTCTAGGAGCACAGTGCCTGGCACACAGTAGGCATTTAATGAGAGCTTCTTGACTGACTGCTGCCAAATAAGGACCATGCTCCCAGAACGAGATCTCTTTGAGAGAGGGAAGGGAATAAGTATCTATTAAGTGCTTACTATGCGCCAGTCAGGTACTGTGCTAAGCAGTTTCTAAATATTATCTTGTGTGAGCCTTACAACCCTGGAAAGTAGGTGCTAATATTATCCCCATTTTACAGCTGAAGAAACTGAGGCAGACAGAAGCTAAGTGACTTTCCCAGGGGTACAGAGCTAGTAAGTGTCTAAGGTCAGAGTTGAACTCAGGTCTTCATGACTCAAGGCTCAGCACTCTATCCACTATGCCACCCAGCTGCCTCTTTGAAAGGGGATGAAGGAGAGGAAAAAACTGGATTGCAATAATATTGCCCACATTTATATAACGCTTTTAAGTTTACAAAGTATTTTACAGACATTATTTCATTTGGGCCTCACAACAACCCTGGGAATTAGATGTTTTGTTTTTGTTTTTTTTTTTATAAAGTTGAGACAAAGAGATTTTAAGGACTTGCCTAGGGCCACTCAGCTAGTAAATGTCTGAGGCTGCATTTGAACTCAAGTCCTTCCTACCTCTAAGTCCAGCCCCCCTACACCACACTGCTTTCAGTGAAAATGATCATTCATCAAAGAAAAAGGAAAGGGACTCATGTACACAAATATTATACACCCAGGTCCTCTGACTCCAAAGCCTGTGTTCTCTCCATTGGACCTCTCTATCTCAACCAAGATCACTAGTAAGCTGGGATTCAAGTTCAGGTCTCCTTCGCACTAAATCCAGTATTATTCAGTGTACCACCCTGCATTTCACTAGCTGACACAGAGAGAAAGAGAAGGAGGAGGAGGAAGGAGGAGGAGAAGGAGGAGAAAGAGGAGGAAGGAGTCAGAGGAGAAGGAG